GCTGGAAAATGGGGTTACCTTCATACCCGCATTCTTTGTGTTGATACAAATAGAGAACAGGGCACGGAAATGTTATGCAGAAGACATCGATGATAAAACAACCATCAAAAATCAACATTTGCACGAATGTTTCTACATGAAGGTCGATGTCTTCTGTAAACATTTCCGTGCCCTGTCTTCTAAGGGTAGTATTGCGGTAACGCATCTTTCTACACTTCACATTTATTCTTTGAAGAAACAGCTTTAGATACCTGACTTTGTGTAGCTCCATCTTTTGCAAGTTACGTTTCCTCGGTGAAATGGGCCAATGGCTATTATTTCTGGATCGTAAGCCTCTGGATTTATGCTTCGTAAATGATCACCAACTCTAAACATTGAGGGTTCTGAAGGTGTAAGAGACGAGCTCTTAAGGATCTTATCAATGTTAACGGTGAAACTGTGGGGTCTCGGACATTTTTGACCGTTTGTGGAAAATCAGAAACCAAATGTATATTTCTCTGCCAAGGCCGATGACTTTCAAGGTGATTTCTCAGATGACTGTTGTTGAGGTTTTTGATGGGAAAAAACAAGGGGGCTGCAAAGTTCTTTCAAAAGAGGCTGCTGCAGGCTGCCACAAGGCAGCTACAGGCTGCGCAGCGGCAGCAGCAGCTGCTGCTGCACAGAGCAGCCACGCAATTTCAAATATGCAAACTGTATAATCAAAAGTTATAAATTGTAAATGCCAAGTCATGTTGAAACTATTTTGAGTTTTTAATGGGTCAAGACATTAAGCTCGTGTTTGAGCTCCCATTTTGGTTAGAAATTGTATTTTTGAAATAATAATTTTTTGAAAAATGTATGATTTAAAAAGAAGAAAAAGTATTTGATTTACGTATAAAATTATTTTATGAAAAAATGTGTGATTGAAAATGAGTTTTGAAAAAATGGGAACCAAACATAGGCTAAGCCTCGATTTAATTTAAGTAAAAATCAAATTTTTAATATTTTTTAATAAAAGTTGATGAAATATATGATTGAAAATTATAGGTTCCATGAATGTGTAATTAAAATTAATTATTGATTTAGATTTAGAAGGCTTTTAGAAACACCTTCGTAAAATTAATAAAGAAAGTTGACCTTGCTCGATGCAACTAAAAATAAAATAACATTGGAGCCCTCATGGAGAACATAGGTGACAAGACAGACCACAATTTTTTTATTCAAAGATTCATAAAATATTTACACAATTGGAAATTTTACTTCAAATCACCGAGAACTTGCCACCATGCCAAAGCCTTACCGTGTCTTCAATTAGTCTGTAAATTTTGTAAGAGTAAGTATCACAAGTAATATTCAGTGGAAAACACTTAGTAAATAGATAAAAAAATATATATATATGTTTTCTAGAATTGCAATAATTGGTTATTTGTGTAACCGTCAATCTCTAGTGAACCGGTGATCAGTCAATCCGTTTACTCTTGAGTTTTGATAACTCGTTTCATACTCTCTTCATCTCGGGTCTTAATAACCCATTTCATAATCTCTTTATCTTTTATTCGAACCACCCAAAGGGTGCTTCCATCACCAGTAACACAATAACACGTTAATGCAAACCGAAAACAAATCATTTTATTCTACTTTACAAAAGTGTCGTAAAACACCCCTACCTTGAATGCTTGGAGTTTGAGTACCCT